AGTAAATGGATGAAGAAGGGAAGGGAAGGGAAGGGAAGGGAAGGGAAGGGAAGGGACAGTTGTCCAGTAATGTTTGCTGAGAGGGAGCCAAGGGGCATCAGAATGATGCAAGCCATGACACAGTGTTGAATGCAAGCCCCACCCTTTTTCTATGCGTGATGTTGCATACGTGCCAAATGAGGTGGAGGTTACACCACTCTGGTTTTCATATGGGTAGCAGTAGCCAAAAAGGAGCATGAATGTGCTGTTGAGGGTTTCCAGCGTAGGCAAAGGAAAGGCATGGTGCAGTTCTTCCAGAGTCTGGCAAATCGCTTTAGGTTGAGGGCACATCTGGGATGTTGAGAGCCTGCAAGCACATGTCCCCTTGGGAGCCTGGACAGCCATGTTCCCATTTGCCCAGATGTGAATTGGTCACCCAGAATGTTCCCACCAGTTCCAAGGCTTGGGTGCAAATAAAAATGATGGTAGAGATTGGCGCTGGAGCAATATTGGCTTGTATTTATTTAAGTAGAATACAATAATACAATCATTATTATGATTGGTCGCACAGTCAGCCAGATGTTTAGACTGGATTTGGCATTTTTTTATTATGATTGGTCGCACAGTCAGCCAGATGTTTAGACTGGATTTGGCATTTTTTTATTATGATTGGTCGCACAGTCAGCCAGATGTTTAGACTGGATTTGGCATTTTTATCCACCAATTGAGTCCTTCCCAAGGACCTGGGATGGGCAGATGTTGTTGCTTGATGGTGTTAAAGGTATCCTTGCAGAAATTGTTGTTATCTGGTCACACAGCCAGTTGTTGTCGTTGTTGTTAATATTATATTACAATAATACAATTTAAAAATAGCTGAAATACTGGGAAAAGATGACAGGATCATGAAGGGTCAGTTCACCTTGTAAAAGTCTGCAAGTCAGACAGGACAAATGTTCAATAAAAGTTTGTTTAAGCTTTCTTTGGAAGCCCTCCCCCCAGAAAAAAAGAAAGTTCTGGTATCACAAATATAGGAGTTTAGGCAGTGATGCAAAGAGACGTTCTATATATTGCCCAATTCCTGCGAATGTGTTTTTATGGCCCCATTTCTCCTACCAACCTTTCAGTGGTGCTCTAACTGGGATTTTTCTTCCCTTTTCCCTATTCTCTTGCAGAATGGAGGGGATGGGTCTGAAGGCAGTGAGCTCGCATCTCACCCTTTGTTGAAACGGTCCCAGAGTTACATTCCCACCACCAAAACACCGGTTGGACCACTAGTCCTCAAGAGCGGTTATTGTGTCAAGCAGGGGAACGTGGTAAGCTCTGTTTGACCTGCCTGTTGTGACTGTTGTGGACCTGGGACTCAGAGGAATGCCAGTTATTTCTCTGGATAGCCTTTGGATGGGAAGATCTTTTCCAGGGATGTTGTTAGGAAAAGATTCTGAAAAGAAAGAGGAAATGAAAAAGCTCCTTGGAAAAGGAGGAAGCAAGCAGAAAGGGAAGGACAAGCAAGAGGAGAGGCTTTTCTGCAGTAGAAGATTATTATGGTATGTGGGAATGACTTTGGGAGACAGGAGGAAGAGCCCCAGTCTGGAAAACCGGCATGTAAAAGGTATCTCAGCCCACAGAAGGCGGGAGGACATGGGAAGCGTTTCAGAAGGGTCCCTCCCTAGTTTTCCAGAAAGTAAAAGAAGAAGAGGGGAAGGAATACTTTTAGTCTTGCAAGATGCTGTTACTATAACCTTACAGATAAGAGTTAGTACTCCTGGTTGTGCTTCTTGCCTAGACTCCTTTGAAGGGCTAGCAAAGGTGGGAGAAAAATGGGGGGGGGAATATCCCTCATCTGGATGTGCCTTTGGATATGAGCTCACCACACTTGGTTACAGGGGTGTCTGCAGGGGGTGGTCAAAAAGGTCAAGAGGGCAGCCACAACCCCTCCATCGAAGCTCTGCCTTCCATCGCCTGACGCGAATGCAGAAACCGACGGAGCTTCTTAACAGCCCTTCTCGGCATCTGCTCAGTTTAGCTGTTACAGGGAGTATTTGAAGAGCCGTTGAAAAGCTTCTAAAGAGGATTCTTCTTGCTTTTCAGAGGAAGAGCTGGAAGCGCCGTTACTTTATGTTGGATGAAACTTCTGTCAGTTATTTCAAATGTGAGCAGGTAAACAATCCGGACCTTCTGGAGCTGTTCTTGGGTCCCATGTGCCCTCTTCCCCGATGGCTGCAGAGAATTGTCCATGGAACCAGCTCTCCGGGTTTTGCTAAGTAAAAGTGCACGAATCCCAAACAAGGATATTTATTCTAGGGCTGCGGTGGTGAAATTAGATTGGGGCAGATAGGGGTGAAAAGGGACGCTGACGGCTCAGAAGCTTCAAAGTTTCTTCAGGACTTTGTGAACAAACCTTATTTTGCTTTAGAGAAAAAGTAAGTCATCCGATATTTGGAAGAGATTATTCTACACTCTGTTTCTCTCTCAGTGATTAGGTTCATAAAGGATGCAAAGACACGATTGCTTAATTATGGTTTGGGATTCAGCCATAATTGGCTGGATTCCCACAACTTGCTAAGCCGTAAACCATTGTTAGAAGCCACCGCAGGTGCGAGAGGTTGAATCAAAACCAAGTAAATCATTTGCTCAGCATAATGTAAGAATAAGAGTCCCAACACACACACACACACACACACACACACAC